AACTCAGAATGTTTTTAAATCTGATTGTTGTTTTGATAGTGACTCTTCTTCCTGTTCATCAAGGTTATTCTTTCTGCTGGTGACAACTTTCAACTTTTCAGATGGGCTGGATAGCAACTCCCAGAGTTCTGGAGGTCGTGTTGGGGAATTTGGACTCATAACCTACTTGTTCAAGAGGACCCAAATGTAGAAAAAGTTACCCGATTATTTATTATCCTATCACTTCCCCCATCCCCACATTTCGGAATGAGAAGTAGCAAAATACCTATTATTTCAGGAAAGATGTTTTATACAGAGATAGGACTTGCAACTCATAAGGATGCTTGAGATACATTGTTAAAATCATTCTATTTCATACAAGATGAATCTGTAATACATAATATCAAGCTTTCATTTTTGTCTGGTAGAATGAAGGAATAAGAGCATTCCAGACAACCGAAAGCCAAACCTGTCTTGTTTTCCCCTTACTAGAAGCTTCATTCATTCCAAACTATCCGCATAGGCCTTTATGCATCTAACTTGGTTCAGCCTCATTATTATTTTCCTTTTACTAGAACAAGTCAGAGTTTTTCTCTGGTAATATTACACTAATAGCTAGAGCATACAAAACATTTGCTAGACCAATACTCGAATACAGCTCATCAGTCTGGAACCCACATTACGTATCTGATATTAGCACAGTTGAGAAAGTCCAGAAATATTTCCCAAGAAGAGTTCTCCACTCCTCTACTCGTTGCAGAATACCTTATGCCACCAGACTCGAACTTCTAGACCTAGAAAACCTAGAACTACGCCGCCTTAGGTCTGATCTAAGTATAATATATAAAATCATACATTGGAATGTCCTACCTGTCAATTAATACTTCAGCTTCAACCATAACAATACAAGAGCAAACAATAGATACAAACTCAAGGTTAATTGCACCAAACTTGATTGCAGGAAATACGACTTCAGCAACAGAGTAGTCAGTGTCTGGAATACTCTACCTGACTCTGTGGTCTTTTCCCCAAACCCCAAAAACTTTAACCTTAGACTGTCTACTATTGACCTCACCCCTTTCCTAAGAGGTCTGTAGGGGGTGTGCATAAGCGCACCAACGTGCCTACCGTCCCTGTCCTATTCTTTCTTTTATATTTTTTTTAATTTTTCTTATATGTATCCATGTATTCATAACTATGTTTTTACTTATACCTATTATCTTGTAAGCAATTGACAAATATAAATAAATAAATAAAATAAAATAAAGATTTCCCCTGAGTGCATTCATTAACATTGCTTAAGTATGTTTATTTTTCAAATCCTTGATATTAGCCAAGCAGAACAATACTCCAGAAATTGTGGGAGCTCTATCATCACTGGAGGTCTTTATGAAAAGACTGGGCAGCCATTTATCCAGAATGATGTAGGGTCTCCTGTTTGAGTAGGGGGTTGGACTAGAAGACCTCTAAGGTCCCTTCCAACTCTGTTATACTGTTACTGCACTGAAAGTGTATGAGTTAGTGGCACTGACTCTTCAATTCCTTCTGACCATGTGGAGTGTTGGGGTGTAGACAGAGAGTTATGAATTCACTCAGTGTCCCCCTTGTCTTTCACTTTAACCAATCTTTTGTCTTTTGAGACTGCTAATCTCAGAGTTTTCCTTCTGCCTTTGTTCCAGAGCATGAATACATGAAATCTAGATACACAGAAAGAAACAACATCTACATACTATGCAACAAGCCAAAATGGGAACAAAAAGACCAAAACATCTTGTCATGCTGCTGGTGGAGACTGACTCTGAGGGAGAGGAGGAACAGCCGACAGGGAGTGGAAGTGTGGCTCTGGAGGTTGTGGAGGAGGCTGGGGAAGGGCAGAGGCCGGCTGGGCAGTCAGAGGAGGACCCAGGCCTATCTCCTCTCCATCCTAGGGCATACAGGGAGGAGAGGATAAGGGAGAGGCGTGGTCTACTCAGGAGGAGAGGGTCTTGATCCTCTTCATGGGCTGAAGCTGTGACAACTAAATAAAAGAACAGACATGTGTACAGGCGAACGGTGGAAACAAAGCGTGGAAATATCTCTAGTTTATGGTTCCTCTCTGAGTTTGGCGTCCTTTCCAGTGTATGTTCTGTTATCTGTGGACATCCTTCAGCCCTTATCTTGCCTGGTTTGTGTTATTTTTTCCCTCCTTCTTGTAACTGCTTGTGTGAGAGTTTTTTGTCTTCTGTCAAGGACATTTGGAGCTTGGAAGCAAAGTGAAGGAATAAAAGGGGCTTCACTGGGTTTTTGTGACTGTATTTATTTTGTATCCCCAACCTGGGTCATCACACATCTCCCCACAACTATTCAACACCCAGATGAGCATAAATTAACTCCAAGACTAACATCTGACTAACAGTCAAAAAGTAAACAACAACAAAAGTAAACCCCAATCAAAATACTGCCAAACAATCTAACAGTAAACAGCCCAACAAAAGTATCTCCAAGACTATGCCTACCAATACAGATAGGGAAAGTCACTAGAACAGGGCTGTCAAACTCACGTTGTCATGGCATCATCACGTGACATATTGGGACTTTTTTCCCCTTCTCTAAACCGGGCAGGGGCGGGGCCAGCACATGACGCATCCAGCCTACGGGCTGTGAGTTTGACATCCCTGCATTAGAATATAATCTCAGAACAAACCCAACTATTTACTAGCACTGATGATATTAACTACTTTGGGTAATGAAACATCCGCAACAACAACAACAATAACCAAGCTCAGAGAGCAGCAAGAACCTCTCCTCTTTATCATATATTAGCTGTGGAATATGGTTTGTTTGGGCAGGCTGGCTGCTGGTGCTGGGAAAGAAAGAAAAAAAAAGAAAGAAAGAAAGAAAAAGACGGAGAGAGGTTCAGGTATGGCCTTGAGTTGTAGCTGTGCTGTCACGGAAACAGATGAGCTGCCTTGCTGCTAATCAGGACTCTTGTGAGGCAGGTGGAGGTAATATTTTTATTGGCCAAGCTTAGTGTTGAAAGTGGGGGAGTCTAAAGACCTGACCTTCTTAGTTGTGGAGGAATACATTGCCATGTTTGAAGCTGGCTGTTTTCTAGTATCAAGACAGAGAGAGAACCTTTGGAAAAACCCTATGGGAAGTTGGTGGCTGGAATGCAGCAGTGGGATCCTACCTGTTCCACAACTGGTTCGGTGATTACATGTGCAATCACCTAATGTGGCGTGCAGCTTTCCAAACACCAGCTGAGGCCTGTAGTGCCAATCAGCCGAGAGAATAAGGAAGAGAAAAGCGCAGGGGCAGGTGGGAAGGTTGATCCTGCACTTTTCTCTACTTTCTCCTCTCAGATGATTGCCGGAGGGTTGTTTTTTTTTACTACTGGTTCAGTCCAACCAGTAGCAATTTTTGCTACCAGATTGGCCGTATCAGGTCGAACCGGGCCAAACCGGTAGCATACCACCACTGCTGGAATGAGATATCACTGGGAAGGTTCTGACCAATTATCTGCCCCAGAGAGAGGGGGGTGGGGTTTAAAAATGTTGGTTGGCAAAAGAGAAGCCAAAACCTGGACAAAGGGATGTGTTTTACCAAACCCTAAGAGCAATGGAGATAGAGAGAGCGGTGGCTGCCTGTAGAAGGTCATGTGGGGATCTGGAGGAAGCCCCAAATTGGGAGGAGCTGGGGGAGTTGGTGACTAAGCAACTAAGCAAATAGCTCTGGGAAAGAGGTAGATAAAGTTAGAGCTTTTAGTGAGAGACAGGAAGGAGGAAGAAACTTTGTACTGGAAGTTTGAACAGACTACTGTAAATACAGTAGTTCTATTTTTTTCCTTGTTCCTGTAAATCTTCTATTTGAACATAGTAATGGAAACAAAAAAGTCTTTGTCAAGCAAAAGTCACGCGGACACCCCACTGTAAAAGTACCATCAGTCACACTTCAACAATTGCCTTAAATAAATCTACTTTCTCTTATAACTGACTTTGCTATCTTTACTGTTTGGCTTAGAGGAATGCTCACACAAATATATAGGCAAATTTCTTTTTTTCCCAACACAAAACAGCTACTACTGCTAGCACAGTATTAAAAATTGTATTCGGGCTGGTGCTGGCCAAGAACCTAGCAATTCCCCAAATTTGTGGCTAAGAACTACATAAATATCTAGATTCAGGAATCACGCTAAGTGAATAATGGGATGTGTTTGGCTTGGCCAGGGGTGGGATTCAACCAGTGTAACAACTGGTTTGGTGAGCGTGCGCTTCACATGCGCACGCAGCATTTACAACCCACCTTTTGCTGCAAGCCCTGTGTGTAAAACAGCTGATGTGCAGCAATCTCCTGAGCCACGCAAATCAGCTGAGCTGGAAAACCCAGAAATAAAACACAGACTAGAACCAGGGTGGGCAGCCGGGCCCAACGGGTGATTGTCAGAGTGAACCAGTTCACCTGAACCAAGCCGAACCAGTAGAATCCCACCCCTGGGCTTGGCCCTGGGCATTGAATCAATGTAGTTTATAAAGCTTGGCTTATAATTATAATACAACTTTCCAACTAGAGTTTAATGAACAAGACCTGGTTAAACAAGCTGTGGCTTAGTGTAACATATAAACCCAGCCCTTCCCTCCAGATATAGATGAATATTCTCTGAAACCAATTTTTCTTTTTAGAAAGGAGGTGTTTATTTTAACCATCAATAGATTAGTCTCAGTGGAAAAACAGCAATAGGAGCTTAGTAAGGACATATTATTTATTAAATAAAAAATATTCAGCAGTGTTCAAAATAATTATGTTCTGTAATTAATCTGAAAATCTTTTGAGCTATTGCTAGTAATGCCTGTATGGCCCACAATGATCTTGAATGTACAAAGTTCCTGTATTTATTGCCCTTTGACTGTTATTGGATTATGAGTCCCATCATTTCTTATGTTTGGCCATAAGCATTAAGGCTGATGGAAGTTGGAGTTCAACAATATTTGGATGGCTACAGTGACCACTTCTGGTTTTCATAACTTATTTTCTTCCATTCTGTGTTAGTACTTACATTTTCCTTCTTCATTCCTACAAAGCACTTTAGTATCATCCACATCTTGAATAACCTCAACCAGTTCTCCTGGCTTGACTTGCAAATCTTTGGAACCTCTTTTCTTTGGGGATGGTGCTTTAGATATGGTAGTAGTGTAAAGAACTCGAATATCACCTTCATACTGTGGAAATAAAATAATTATTTGTAAAGAAAAATTAAACATCAATTGAAATGATACTTTTGACTCCGTATACAGTTGAATAAAATGTAATCTTGTTGGAAGATTAGGCTATTGCCTGATATTCTTTTGACTTCCCCTCTCAAAGCATACAGTACCAGACAATTTGATTAGATAGTAACTGATCTTTGTTCAACTATTCTTCTCGTCTGATGATCCAGGCAAGGGACTGGATAGGATCTATATTAGAACACTATTCCAGTTGAGCAGTAAGTCAGTGGCCCATCTGTTGCTTCTCCATCCCATTCCTGAGACCACAGAGTTTTCTGTACCTGTCAGCTTCACGGGCTAAAGCAGATAGGAATCACAACTAGATGAGCTACTGTAATTCTACTTTATTGTAAAACTTCATTGATAGAATCTTACAAGTCTGAAAGTAAAATTCTCTCCCCCCACATCATTTACAGCTAAAGAAATTAGGGAGAGTCTCTTCTGAGTTTTTTGTCCCAACCACTATAAGGGTTGTGGGCTATGCTGACTCTTACTTGATCATTCCCTTGGTGTCTCTTTGCCCAGTCTCCCAAGGTCTTTCCCATATACAATTACACTCTCTAAAAACACATTACAGTGTTGGCACAATCCAAATTTTAGAACAATTCATCTGTGAGAAAACAGTGCAAATTTGAGGGTTTCTTAGCTGAGGGAAAAAATAATAATAAAAGGAGACCCTAACTGAAGACCATATCCACAATATACATAGTGTGAGAAAAGGAATCTGAGATTATGAGTAAACTTCTAAGGGTCATCCAGGAGATTTAGGATAGACAAAAGAATTCTTTTTTATTTACAATGATACAATGAGTATAATTAATCTGAACGATTGAGGGCAAAAGAAGAAAGGGATGAGAGAGAATGAGGTGGCTGGATGGAGTTCCTGAAGCAGTCGGTGTGAGCTTAAATGGACTCTGGGGGATGGTAGAGGAAGGAAGGCCTGGAGGAACATTGTCCATGGGGTCGGGATACGTCAGACGCGAATAACAACAACAACAATATAATTAAACTATGAAATTTGCAATGTGACATGATGACATCCACTATGTAAGATGGCCTTAAAAGAGATACTGCGAGAATAAGGTATATCTAAAACTAGTAGTCAGGATGGTAATATTTTACTTCCAATATGAGATGCAGTTTAAGTCTCTAGACCAGTCACTAAGGAACATGAGTGGAAAGTTCCTAATGCCCTGCTATTCTTCTGGTGACCCTTTCAGAGGTTTTTTGTTTCACCAAGGTAGAAAAAGAAACTAAAATAGTTAATCTTTAGTCTGATTTATCAGAGGACTTCTTTAATTAATCAGTCATGTAATGCAGTCCTATGTGTACTGGCAGGGGTGGGATTCAAATTTTTTAACAACCGGTTCTGTGGGCGTGGCTTAGTTGGTGGGCATTGTTTGGTGGTCATGTGACTGGGTGGATGTGGCTTGGTGGTCATGTTATTGGCTGCACGTGGCCAACTCAATATCACTCACATTGAGGCACATATCACCTCGCCAGGCCTCTCATGACTGTGGGGAAGCTGCAACAGTTGTAAGTGTGAAAAACAGTCATAATTCACTTTTTTCAGTGCCATTGTAACTTTGAATGGTCACTCCACACAAGCAAAGTACCAGCAAAGGAGGGGAAAAAAACTCCAGAGAATTTCTGAGACAGGAAGTCTAGTCCTGCCAAGAATGTAATGAGGGTTAACGGAGAGGCAGTTTCTGTAAGCAACACCAGAATGTTTCCTTCCTGCCTCCCTTACAGGATTAGGCCAGTAATTTCTTCTAACAACCAGTTCTCTTAACTGCTTAGAATGGTAACAACCGGTTCTAGCGAATAGGTGTGAACTGGTAGAATCCCACCCCTGTGTACTGGGTTTTACACATTCAGAAGAGCAGCGGCAGTGGATAGGTGAGTGAGGAAAGCATTGTGTAGTAATACCCGACAAAATTGCATCCTTTTTTAATTTTTTGATTCACAGACAATTTCAAACCACACAACACATCATGTTCTTCAGAGACTTCCTCTGGATCAAGGCTTGAACACTCCCCTGAGACTACCAAATGACTTCCTCTTGCTATCAGACCTACAAAATGCTGTGCTAACAGTGTTTTCAATGGGGAAATATACTACTTTCACATTTTTTTCCCAGGGGAACGAAAGAAGAGTAATTATTCTCCAAGGAAGTTTTTTTGAAATGCTTTTTGGTAAGCTTTTATGAATTAAGATCTTAAAGCATCTAACTAAACCTATTACTATCAGAAAATGAACTCCACTCGATTCAATGAAAATGAACTTTTTGAGTAAAACGTGACTTCTGATTTCTGATGTTGATGATTAGAATAGAATAGATTATAAAAAGAATATTATTATAACTTGAGAGAGAGAGAGAGAAAATGAGAGACCCGAAATTATGGGTCATGTGAAATATTCACTGCCATGCGAGCCATAACAGCTAGGTTTGCACAACACAAATGGCATTTGTGTATAGAAAGGATTTGGAGGGAATCAACCCAATTCGTTTTGAGTTGCAGAGGCAGATGAGTATAGAAGTCACTTCCTGAGATATTTTATTTGTCAAGCATATTTATCTGTCAAATTTAACTCTATGTAAATCACTCCGTTTGAATCCATGTAGGACCTTAAAGGTGACATACAGCATCTTAAATTATACCCAGAAGCCAACTTGCAACCAATGCAACTCCTTAAATAGTGGAATCACTATTTTGGGGGTACACCTGTCAATCCCTGAGCCCCTGCATTTTGTATCAACTATAATTTCCAAATCCTTTCTAGCCACTTTCATTTGTACAGCGCATTACAATATTCCAAGCACCTGCTGATCCTGCCATTTCTTTTCAGAGACAATCCCCCCTACCCTGGAATTCATCTCAGAAATAAACACAGCTATCCTACCTTGGAGGATTCAGTTTAAACTTGTTCTTCCCAGTGGTGGGATTCAATTTTTTTTTACTACCGGTTCTGTGGGCATGGCTTGGTGGGAGTGGCTAGGGAAGGATACTGTAAAATCTCCAGTCAGAGGTGGTATTTGCTGGTTCTCCAAACTACTCGAAATTTCCGCTACTGGTTCTCCAGAACTGGTCAGAACCTGCTGAATACCACCTCTGGTTCTTTCCCTTCCAAGCCCTGACAATCTCCAAGCACTGGATCCACACTTTTATCATTTCACCAGTTTTAGGTATGGGACTAAAATGCATAGTTAGGAATTATAAGCATCTTGTTGAAACAAGGCCCCTTTTCAGTGTTTATTGGGCTTGTCAATATTTATTGGGCTCTTGTGAAGCTGGGAAATTATATAATGATCAGATGCCACCCTGATATGTTTAAGATTGCTTTCATGTTTATTTATGTTCATTTAACATATTGATATTTACACTCAATCAAACAAATACTTACTTTGAATTTTTTTCGAAAATCTTTCTCTTCTTTGTCAATTTTTTTAAACTTCTGTGAATCACGTTCATCAGATCTGCCCCTCCCAAAGTTGAAAGATTTTATATTTTTTGGGAGGCTAAAGCAACATATTAGGAAAAAAAAAAAAATCAGTGTATTACATTGGTATATTTATAGGTAGCTGCAAATTATTTTTACTAGTTTATACAACAAGTCAACCAGCCCCCACTCTGTACCAAAGAAAACAAGCAAACTTTTTAGTTTATTTTAACTTGCCTAATTTCTTTTGGTGGGGGAGGGAAGTCAGTGGATTCAACATCATCGTAAACATCACTGTCTCCAGAATCTAAGGTAGATTTGAAGAAAAAAAGATAATGATCATAGGTTATGTTTATACATATAGTTTGGGGATAAATTTGAACAAAACTAATAAATTAGGACTTCAAATTTGAACAAAACCCATACCAAGACATTATCTTTATGTTGTCTTAAATTTTTGCTTCACACTGAAGTTTACAGTTTAAAAATAAACCAGTTTTTGTTTCCTGGATTGTTTAGCCATTCAAATAAAGCTTAGACAAGGCAAAAGTTACCATGACATTTGTCATATAAACCTGGCCAAGTACATTGAGTAATATGTTGTAACAGTGAACAGTGTGTTATGATATGCCATGACAAATATAAATCAGGCTATTACGTGATCTTTCTTATATTAACAGTGTTGAGGTGTTGAACAATCTAAAAACCTTCTGACTGAATTAATTAAGACTTAGCTAATGCCATTTCAGGGCACTACTGGCTTATGTGTGTGTGTGTGTGTATATACATACATACATACATACATACATACATACATACATACATACATATGGTATTCAGTTTTGTTCAGGTATTTTCCCATGTCATTATAGTTGTGCTGTTTCCCAGCCTTTGACTGGGATAAGTCTGACTCACAAACGAACACTATACAGAAGCCTGATGATGGCAGATGAGATTCTGCTGAAACGTTGCTACAACTTTAAAAGCACAACTATAATGACGTGGAAAAATACCCGAACAAAGCTGAATACCATACATATAAATACCTGCAAAAACTTAAGAAAACAAATATGTATGTATGTATGTATGTATGTATGTATTAATATATAATTTCTGAATTG